CGCTGCTGGTCTTAAACCTCGTATAGTCAGCTTTCTATGCTGTCTAGACAGACTTGTTTTGGGGTGGCTAACTGTTGTAACAGCAAAAAGTTATACGCTGGATTGCGCATCAATGAACAGCCAAGCAACAGCAATGAGACTGAATCGGACGATGACGAGAGGAATCCGGGCTTGCTTGATGCCGCTATCGCCCAACTGTTAAATTCCGACACCGAAGACGAGGAATTTGATGGATTCGTAGAAGAGGAATGATTTAAAAGTGTGTGTACTTTTTTGTGTAATATTGACAGTTATTGTTAATGATTTGAATAAAGTCTGACCTATCCGACTATTTTGTTTCGCTTTATGCGTCTTATAATCCGGTGCGTCTTATATATGAAAATGGATCCGTTCATTGATACTGCGTCTTATAATCCGGTGCGCCTTATGGTCCGAAAAATACGGTACATGCGTTGTCAAACGCTGGCAAAAAATGAAAATATACGATGGGTACAACACTGAGCAGGTCAAAAGCCCGTATGAAGTTTAGACTAATGCCGCTTTCGATAGGGTGCTGATAACACCAACTCATTCGTGTTTATGCCGAGATAATCCATTGCTATTTTGCACATGCTCCGCTGATTTATACAACCGTTTACAGGTGAGCATTAGTAACGGAATAAATGGATCTCCATCTGCGGTTCGTGTTTAGCAGTCGATAATTTTACACACAATACATATTCCCGTCGTCCATGATTATTTTTACTGGCAGATACTGGTAAATAAACAAGTCTGAGTCATTTCGCATAAAACGGCTTAACCGAATGGCACTCGAATCACGTCTGAAGGAGCACGAGTTTTGCAGATTTGGTTTAAGAGAGCAATATCATGTTAACCTTCAAATAGAAATACCCGCTGCTATACACTAGTTGTTCACTCTGTTGCACCGTTTGATCAGAAGTGCGACCTAACTATAAACCTCAAAGAGAGCAGATATCCAGGATGATCGATGTGCGAACGACAGAACTCAATCGCACAAATCAGTCACGTGACTGTCACCAGAACTTCAACGCAATGACCTTGACCGTGGAAAGCACATCATTCAAGGACCGTATCTAACACGAGAAAGACGGACTCAGGATAAGACACTTAAATCGGCAAGCCGATACAGGAGGATATTGAACGTCAATAGCAGTTGTTGAGGTACATGAATCACACCTTGTAGTCACCGAATAAAAGTGCACGTGTATCAGAAACGCATTGTTAACTATGACTGCGCATGTGTGATCTACGACCATTTATTCACACAGTAGCTCGAATTGTTTTATTTTCCTCGGAAATTTTATTCAATCACCTACCCCAATATGTGCATGAATGCAAGCTTTATACTGAGTATGTTTGCACTTTTCGCTCGCCTATTGTTTTTAAGTCAGTGCTGATCGAACATCACACTTGCCGCTGCATCGCACTCGTCAAATTCGAGTGACCTCCGACGATTCTTTGCTCTGTGACTTAGCTCGGTCTTGATCAATTTACTTCGTGTACCAATCTTGATTTTGAAAGCTTAATGGAGCAAACTCTCCCTCAAACCCACATCAAGTCATGTTGAAGTTCTCCTGGAATTCCCCAGAACTTTGTATAAATCCTGTATATTTTCTGACTGATGGAAATACACTTTAAACCACAGTCGAATTCATATAGTACACCTTCGGATTCGTATTGTTCTTCTTCTCACAGGTGCTGTAACAGTCAATCAAGATCAAAGGATAGTACCGCTGGAAGTACGAAAATAATCCCACAAATCTCACTGACATAAATGGGAAACACTGAAAACGAGCTTGTTCGTCAATCTTCAACCACTGGAAATATTTACGTCATTGCGACAGGCGATAACACGTTACCACATACAGTACCAATAAAATTTAAGACAACCTTCTATATAATGCAGGTTTTGTGAGAGAACTGAAGCCTCGCGCATTTAAATCTATGAACACTAGTATCTGCGCGCCCTAAACCCAGTTATTCTAGTTTTTTACTTTAAAAAAACGCGCTGGTGTGCTACTTTTCATTGAAGACGGTAATTCAGTAAACATTAGACGAGATGAACCTTATCGTTTCACACTATGTACTCGGTCCTGGAAATTGCAAGACAAAAACCTTTTACTTGGAACAGGGAACGACCTAAAGCAAAAGCGATGGAAATGCTACCGAGTTGGCCAACAGTGACAATGTCAGCCGAAATGAAATTGGTTGCCAGTTCCGATAGGGTAGTGCATGCATGTCAATGACATACACTTGAATTGAATGCCCAACACCACGGTTGAGCACTAGCTTATTTACGCGTCACCCCCATTCATATGTCCGAGAGAGCTTCACTACCACAAGTATCAACAACGTTCCATCGTTCCCTTATACTCGACTTGTGTTACTACCAATAGGTTGAGAGCGAGAGAATCCTATGTGTTTGTATGTAAACCTTTGATATAACAGACTTTATTCAACATATTTCACTATCCTCACTGACAGCCGGAGCGTTGTTTTAACTGAAATCGAAGCGCACATGGCATCAAACTTTCCAAAGATGACAGGAAGCTTCGTTGTCTTCCGGCTCAATAACACACCTAACCTAGTGGGGTCTTATGTGAAATGCCACTCCACTCTCGGCGGTTTCCATGAATGGACAATAAGTCCTCATGACTATGGGAGTTATTTTGTCTCTCGTTCCTCAATAAAAAAGTGCATCCCATATGTTTCATTCGATTACAATATTTCCGCTTATTTAACTATCTATGGTGCCTAAATTGGGATCCGCAGTCTGTTTATCTATCCGTCTGTACACGCAGTTACCGGAAACGTGGTTTCGATGCGAGCGGGGACTGCAGGGGTTTTAGGTACGCTACCTTTGCAATGATCGAATTTGACGGGATTAGTGAATCAGTAGAACCGAAGTAAAGTCCTGAGTGGGCACTGTGCTTCATCGGTCGAATGAGTTCTCGAGTACACTTCCTCGATGTGCCAAGCTCACCAAGTAAGTTGCAGTTTGGGGAAAAAATATCAAAACAGCCAGTTCAGGACAGGATTATAAGGTATACCGATCCTTATCATAAGACTTAGTCAAGGAGATCAGGCATGTCAAGTATTCGGGTCGACCGTCTACAGGCACACCAGCGACCGGTTTCAGTTTTTACAACCATTAACCATGCACTTTCATGCGATCGGTACAAATGGTATTGTAGTACAGCCATTTACCGACTAGGACTTAGATTCGATCCATCGGGGATCAGAGTGCTGATCTGCGACCGTTGCCGAACGCTTAGTTAGATACACCTGAAGTAGATTATGATAGATGGACAATTTTGCAAAGGGAAATAAATCTATGAAATACGGCTAAGGGTCGTTTTTTTATTACACACTTTCGTGTGATAAACAGCAGGCGGAGAAAGCCCCATAGTTACGAGGACTTGCTGTTCAGTGATGGAGACCGGTAACCTAATCCCCGGGACTTGGAGTGGCGAACCACATAAGGCCCCGGTGTGCTATTGGACCGGACGACTGAGTTTCCGGAGTTTTCCCTTTGCCTACCTCCTAAATGTTCTCGTGGTTAAAAGGATGTTCAAAACATGTCAATAATTCATTCGGTCTCCGGACAGCGTTCACCGAAGAATGGTGCATGAACAGACGCNAGTACTACCAAAGTAATCGAAACGTAATCTTAGATTATCCGATGTAACGCATCCATACGACATTCCACTGAGCGGACCTATTTCCCAACAGAATTGACAATAGTTCATTTCAGTCCAGTTTAAACAACCATTAAGCATGCACTTCCATGCGTTGCTTTTAGTTGCTATCTTTTCCTTGTCCATAAGGGTGAACAATAGGAGGAAAACAGGAAGGTTAAAAGTAGGATCGGAGAGAAAATTGTGAATTTCAATGGACTAATGATGCAAAGAAATTGAGAAGATGCACGAACGCCAATGTTTACGACACCCAGCCATATCA